GGGACACTGTGAGAGAATGGAGGACACTGCGGGGGCTGGGGACACCGCAGGGGCTGGGGACACCACAGGGCTGCGGGGAGGGGACACCGTGAGGGACTGGGGGACACCACGGGGGCTGGGGACACTGAGGGGTCTGGGGGCACTGCCATGGCCGGGGGGCTGCAGGGAGGGGACACTGTGAGGGACTCAAAGGGACAGGGACACCGCGGGGGCTGGGGACGCCAATGGGGCTGGGGACACCGTGGGGGCTGGGGGCACTGCCATGGCCAGGGGGCTGTGGGGAGGGGACACTGTGAGGGAATGGGGGACACCAATGGGCCTGGGGACACCGAGGGGTCTGGGGACACCACGGGGGCTGTGGGGAGGGGACACCATGAGGGACTGGGGGACACTGCAGGGGCTGGAGACACTGATGGGTCTGGGGGCACTGCCATGGCCAGGGGGCTGTGGGGAGGGGACACTGTGAGGGACTCGGAGGGACAGGGGGACACCAACGGACCTGGGGACACTGCCATGGCCACAGGGCTGTGGGGAGGGGACACCGTGAGGGACTGGGGGACATTACTGGGTCTGGGGGTGCTGCCATGGCCGCAGGGAGAGGACACTGTGAGGGACTTGGAGGGACAGGGGACACTGTGGGGTCTGGGGACGCCAACAGGTCTGGGGACATTGTTGGAGTCTGGGGAGGGGACACCGTGAGGGACTGGGGGACATTGCTGGGTCTGGGGACACCAAGGGCTCTGGGGTTGCTGCCATGGCCGGGGGGCTGCGGGGAGGGGACACTGTGAGGGACTCAAAGGGACAGGGGCACTGCGGGGGCTGGGGACGCCAACAGGTCTGGGGACACCGACGGGGTCTGCCATTGCCACAGGGCTGCAGGGAGGGGACACTGCGAGGGACTCAAAGGGACAGGGGGACACTGACCATCCTGGGGACACTGAGGGGTCTGGGGACAACGTGGGGTCTGGGGGTACTGCCATGGCCGGGGGGCTGCGGGGAGGGGACACCGACGGGCCTGGGGACACTGCCATGGCCATGGGACACTGAGGGGACCTCAGAGGAACAGGGGACACCAATGGGTCTGGGGACACCGAGGGGTCTGGGGACACTGCCATGGCCAGGGGGCTGCAGGGAGGGGACACTGAACCAACGGACCTGGGGACACTGCCATGGCCACAGGGCTGTGGGGAGGGGACACCGTGAGGGACTGGGGGACATTACTGGGTCTGGGGGTGCTGCCATGGCCGCAGGGAGGGGACACTGTGAGGGACTCAGAGGGACAGGGGACACTGTGGGGTCTGGGGATGCCAACAGGTCTGGGGACACTGATGGAGTCTGGGGAGGGGACACTGTGAGGGACTGGGGGACATTGCTGGGTCTGGGGACACCAAGGGCTCTGGGGGTGCTGCCATGGCCGTGGGGCTGCGGGGAGGGGACACTGTGAGGGACTCAAAGGGACAGGGGCACTGCGGGGGCTGGGGACGCCAACAGGTCTGGGGACACCGACGGGGTCTGCCATTGCCACAGGGCTGCAGGGAGGGGACACTGCGAGGGACTCAAAGGGACAGGGGGACACTGACCATCCTGGGGACACTGAGGGGTCTGGGGACAACGTGGGGTCTGGGGGTACTGCCATGGCCGGGGGGCTGCGGGGAGGGGACACCGACGGGCCTGGGGACACTGCCATGGCCATGGGACACTGAGGGGACCTCAGAGGAACAGGGGACACCAATGGGTCTGGGGACACCGAGGGGTCTGGGGACACTGCCATGGCCAGGGGGCTGCAGGGAGGGGACACTGAGGGGACCTCAGAGGGACTGGGGACATCACCAGTGGCCAGGCCACTGCAGGGTGGGGACACCAAGGGCACCTCGTGGGGACAGGGACACCCTCAGGTGACCCAAAGGGGAGCAGGGTCACGCCTGAACCTCCCCCACCCAGCTGGGGTCACCCCCAGCTGCGGGGAGGGGACACCGACGGGCCTGGGGACACTGCCATGGCCATGGGACACTGAGGGGACCTCAGAGGAACAGGGGACACCAATGGGTCTGGGGACACCGAGGGGTCTGGGGACACTGCCATGGCCAGGGGACCTCAGAGGGACTGGGGACATCACCAGTGGCCAGGCCACTGCAGGGTGGGGACACCAAGGGCACCTCATGGGGACAGGGGTCACCCCACGGGCCACCCCCTTGGGGACAGGGACACCCTCAGGTGACCCAAAGGGGAGCAGGGTCACGCCTGAACCTCCCCCACCCAGCTGGGGTCACCCCCAGGGTCACCCTCAGCCCCCTCGGGGGTCTTTGGGGTCCCCCTTGGGGTTTTCCACAGGGTTTTTGGGGTCCCCTTGGGGTTTTTGGGGTCCCCCCGTACCTGCCCGCGGTGCTGGAGCTCTGGGGGGCTCTCGAGGCTCTCGGGGGGCAGCACAGCAGGGCCCGGGGGGCCACCCTCAGCCTGGGGGGGGGGGGAACCCCCCCAATTCTCGGGGGGCGGAGCACAGCAGGGCCCGGGGGGCCACCCCCAGCCTGGGGGGGGGGGAACACCCCGAATTGGGGAGGGGTGACACGGCTGGGGGGGACCTGGAACCCCCCCAAAACTGCCCCCGAACGCCCAAAGTGCCCCAGGTGTGACCCCAAACTGCCCCCTGAGCCCCCCAAATGTCCTCAGCCCAAAGCCTCTTTTTCCCCCGTTTCTCGCCCCATTCCCGCACATTCCCCGCCGGCGGCAGCGCGGCCAAAGTCCCCCCCTCAGGCGCTGCCCTCACCCAAGATGGCGCCGCCGCCGCCTCACCCGGACCCAAGATGGCGGCCGGAAGTGACGGCGCGGCGGAGCGGAAGAGGCGGAGCCGCGCGGGACGAGATGGCGGAGCCGGGGAAGGGGCGAGGGGCGGCCCCGGCGGGGAAGGGGCTGAGCGCCGAGCAGGTCAGGGGAACCGGGAAGCGGGGAGGGGCCCCCGGGGGGGAAGAGGATTGCCCCATTCCCAGTTCACCAGTCCCAGTTTATCTCATTCCCAGTCCATCCCAGTCCCCCCCAGACCATTCCCAGACTGCTCCCAGTCCATCCCAGTCCCCCCCAGTCCATTCCAGTCCATTCCAGTCCGATCCCAGTCCCTCTCAGTGCCTCCCAGACCATTCCCAGTGGCTCCCAGTCCCATCCCAGTGCCCCCCCCAGTCCGTCCCAATGGCTCCCAGTCCCATCCCAGTTTCTCCCTGTCCATTCCCAGCCCCCCCGGCCCCCCCAGTGGCTCCCAGTTAACCCAGTTCCCATCCCAGTCCCCTTCTAGACCTTCCCAGACCACTCCCAGCCCATCCCAGTGGCTCCCACTCCAGTCTCAGTCCCTTCCAGTGGTTCCCAGTTAAGGGGACTGGAGGTTTGGAGTTGGGATTCAAGATTGGGGGGTTTGGGGTTCAAGATTGGGGGTCTGGGCTCGGGATTGGGGGGTTTGGGGTCAGGATTGAGGGGTCTGGGGTCGGGATTGGGGGGTTTAGGGACAGGATTGAGGGGTCTGGGGGGTTTAGAATCAGGATTGGGGGATTTGGGGTTGGGATTTGGGGGATGGGGGTGTTTAGGGTTGGGATTGGGGATTGGGATTGTGAATTGGGAGTTTGGGGTGAGGATTGGGGATTTGGGACAGGGATTTGGGGTGGATATGGGGTTTATTTGGGGTGGATTTGGGCCGGGGATTTGGGGTTTATTTGGGATGGATTTGGGGTTTATTTGGGGTGGATTTGGGCTGGGGGTTTGGGATGGGGATTTGGGGTTTATTTGGGGTAGATTTGGGCCGGGGATTTGGGGTTTATTTGGGGTGGATTTGGGCCGGGGATTTGGGGTTTATTTGGGGTGGATTTGGGCCGGGGATCTGGGGTTTATCTGGGCTGTTTTGGGGTGCTGACCCCTGGCCCAGGCTGGTGATCGACACGCTGCGGGAGGTGGATCCCACCCGGAAGTGTTTCCGCATGGTCGGGGGCGTGCTGGTGGAGAGAACGGTCAAGGAGGTGCTGCCCGCCCTGGAGAGCAACAGGGAGCAGGTCTACCCACTGGGACTCCTTAAAAACCCATTGGGCAGCCCAAAAATCCACTGGGATCCCATAAAAACCCAGTGGAATCCCATAAAAACCCACTGGGATCCCGTCAAAACCCATTGGGGACCCCAAAACCACACTGGGATCCCGTAAAAACCCATTGGGATGGCCCTGAATCCACTGGGATCCCATAAAAACCATTGGGGACCCCAAAACCCCACTGGGATCCCGTAAAAACCCATTGGGATGGCCCTGAATCCACTGGGATCCCATAAAAACCCATTGGGATGGCCCTGACTCCACTGGGATCCCATAAAAACCCATTGGGATGGCCCTGACTCCACTGGGATCCCATAAAAACCCATTGGGATGGCCCTGACTCCACTGGGATCCCATAAAAACCCATTGGGATGGCCCTGACTCCACTGGGATCCCATAAAAACCCATTGGGATGGCCCTGACTCCACTGGGATCCCATAAAAACCCATTGGGATGGCCCTGACTCCACTGGGATCCCATAAAAACCCATTGGGATGGCCCTGACTCCACTGGGATCCCATAAAAACCCATTGGGATGGCCCTGACTCCACTGGGATCCCATAAAAACCCATTGGGATGGCCCTGACTCCACTGGGATCCCATAAAAACCCATTGGGATGGCCCTGACTCCACTGGGATCCCATAAAAACCCATTGGGATGGCCCTGACTCCACTGGGATCCCATAAAAACCCATTGGGATGGCCCTGACTCCACTGGGATCCCATAAAAACCCATTGGGATGGCCCTGACTCCACTGGGATCCCATAAAAACCCATTGGGATGGCCCTGACTCCACTGGGATCCCATAAAAACCCATTGGGATGGCCCTGACTCCACTGGGATCCCATAAAAACCCATTGGGATGGCCCTGACTCCACTGGGATCCCATAAAAACCCATTGGGATGGCCCTGACTCCACTGGGATCCCATAAAAACCCATTGGGATGGCCCTGACTCCACTGGGATCCCATAAAAACCCATTGGGATGGCCCTGACTCCACTGGGATCCCATAAAAACCCATTGGGATGGCCCTGACTCCACTGGGATCCCATAAAAACCCATTGGGATGGCCCTGACTCCACTGGGATCCCATAAAAACCCATTGGGATGGCCCTGACTCCACTGGGATCCCATAAGAACCCAATGGGGAGCCCATAAACCACACTGGGATCCCCTAAAAACCCAGTGGGAGGGCCCTAAACCCACTGGGATCCCATAAAAACCATTGGGGACCTCAAAACCACACTGGGATCCCCTAAAAACCCAATGGGGAGTCCAAAACCACACTGGGATCCCCTAAAAATCCAGTGGGATAGCCCTAAATCCACTGGGATCCCATAAAAACCCAATGGGATCTCATAAAAACCCAATGGGGACCCCAAAACCACACTGGAATCCTATAAAAACCCAATAGGATAGTCCTAAATCCACTGGGATCCCATAAAAACCCATTGGGGACCCCAAAACCACACTGGGATCCCGTAAAAATCCAATGGGATAGCCCTAAACCCACTGGGACTCCTTAAAAACCCATTGGGGAGCCCAAAAATCCGCTGGGATCCCATAAAAACCCAATGGAATCCCATAAAAACTCACTGGGATCCCATAAAAACCCATTGGGGAGCCCAAAAATCCGCTGGGATCCCATAAAAACCTACTGGAAGCCCCTAAAAACCATTGGGAACTCCAAAACTTCACTGGGATCCCATAAAATCCCATTGGAATCCCATAGAACCCCACTGGGACTCCTTAAAAACCCAGTGGGGAGCCCAAAAATCCGCTGGGATCCCATAAAAACCTACTGGAAGCCCCTAAAAACCATTGGGAACTCCAAAACTTCACTGGGATCCCATAAAATCCCATTGGAATCCCATAGAACCCCACTGGGACTCCTTAAAAACCCAGTGGGGAGCCCAAAAATCCGCTGGGATCCCATAAAAACCTACTGGAAGCCCCTAAAAACCATTGGGAACTCCAAAACTTCACTGGGATCCCATAAAATCCCATTGGAATCCCATAGAACCCCACTGGGACTCCTTAAAAACCCAGTGGGGAGCCCAAAAATCCGCTGGGATCCCATAAAAACCCACTGGGATCCCATAAAAACCAACTGGAATCCCCTAAAAACCATTGGGAACTCCAAAACTTCACTGGGATCCCATAAAAACTATCCACTGGGATCCCATAAAAACCCATTGGGGACCCCAAAACCACACTGGGATCCCGTAAAAATCCAATGGGATAGCCCTAAATCCACTGGGATCCCATAAAACCCATTGGGGAGCTCAAAACCACACTGGGATCCCATAAAAACCCAATGGCATCCATAAAAACTCAATGGGATAGCCTCAAACCCAATGGGATCCCATAAAAATCCAGTGGGGACCCCAAAACCACACTGGGATCCCATAAAAACCCACTGGGGACCCCAAAACCACACTGGGATCCCATAAAAACCCACTGGGGACCCCAAAACCACACTGGGATCCCATAAAAACCCAACGGGATGGCCCCAAACCCAATGGGATCCCATAAACATTCTATAGAGCATGCTAAAATCTGCGGGGATAGCCCCAAATCCAATGAGATCCCATAAAAATTCAACAGGATATCTCAAAATCCAATGGGATATCCCAAAAATTCAGTAGGGTCCCATGAACATCCAATGGGGAACCAAAAAAATCTGCTGGAACCACCCCCCAAAAAAAAATCTCTGGATCTTTTCCCCTCTTTTTTTTCTCTCTTTTTTTCCCATTTTTCCCCTTTTTCTCCCCCTTTTCCCCCATTTTTCCCCCAGATCTCTAACCTAACCAAGTCTCTCTCTTTTCCCCTTTTCCCCCTATTTCCTATTTTTCCCATTTTCCCTGGTTTTCCCTCAGATTTCCAAGCTGATCTAGGGTCTCTTTCTTTTCCCCCAATTCCCATTTTCCCTGTTTTTCCACCCAGATCTCCACTCTAACCAAGTATCTCTCTTTTCCCCTATTTCCCCCAATTCCCATTTTTCCCATTTTTCCCTGTTTTTCCCCCCAAATCTCCAAGCTGATTGAGTCTCTCTCTTTTCCCCCAATTCCCCAGTTCCCATTTTTCCCATTTTCCCCCCAGATCTCCAAGCAATTCCCATTTTTCCCATTTTCTCTGTTTTCCCCCCAGATCTCCACTCTAACCAAGTCTCTCTCTTTTCCCCCATTCCCATTTTTCCCATGTTCCCCCTTTTTCCCCCCAAATCTCCAAGCTGATTGAGTCTCTCTCTTTTCCCCCATTCCCATTTTTCCCATGTTCCCCCTTTTTCCCCCCAAATCTCCAAGCTGATTGAGTCTCTCTCTTTTCCCCCATTCCCATTTTTCCCATGTTCCCCCTTTTTCCCCCCAAATCTCCAAGCTGATTGAGTCTCTCTCTTTTCCCCCATTCCCATTTTTCCCATGTTCCCCCTTTTTCCCCCCAAATCTCCAAGCTGATTGAGTCTCTCTCTTTTCCCCCATTCCCATTTTTCCCATGTTCCCCCTTTTTCCCCCCAAATCTCCAAGCTGATTGAGTCTCTCTCTTTTCCCCCATTCCCATTTTTCCCATGTTCCCCCTTTTTCCCCCCAAATCTCCAAGCTGATTGAGTCTCTCTCTTTTCCCCCATTCCCATTTTTCCCATGTTCCCCCTTTTTCCCCCCAAATCTCCAAGCTGATTGAGTCTCTCTCTTTTCCCCCATTCCCATTTTTCCCATGTTCCCCCTTTTTCCCCCCAGATCTCCAAGCTGATCGAGGCTCTGGCGCAGCAGCTGCAGGCCAAGGGCCGGGAGCTCTCGGAATTCCGGGAACGCCACAACATCCGCCTGGTGGGGGAGGACGACCCCAAATCCACCCCCAGGGACGGCCCCGAGGGGGGCAAGGGGGGCCCCGGGGGGGTCCTGGTGTCCTGACCCCCACCCCCCCAAAAAAAAAAAAATTCCCAGAGGGATTTGGGGTCGTTTTGGGGGGGGGTTGGGTAATAAACGGGAGTTTGGGACAATCCCAGGGTTGGTTTTTGTGGGAAAAGGGTTTGGGGTGAGGGGAGGGGGGAAATAGGGAGAACCCCAAATGTGGGGGTGCCAAGGGGGACCCTAAAAATGGGGAGACCACAAAGTGGGGAAAAAATGGACCCCAAAAATGGGGGAAAAAAGGGACCCCAAAAATGAGGGTGGGACCCCAAAAATGAGGAGAGGAGACCCCAAAATGGGGGAAAAAAGGGACCCCAAAAATGAGGGTGGGACCCCAAAAATGAGGAGAGGAGACCCCAAAATGGGGGAAAAAAGGGACCCCAAAAATGAGGATGGTACCGCAAAAATGAGGAGAGGAGACCCCAAAATGGGGGTGGGAACCCAAAATTAGGGGGGTGCCAGGGGGGACCCCAAAATTGTGCTGGTGACACCTCAAGGTGGGGGGCAGAGGACACAAGGAGGTGACAAAGAGAAGGGGGTGACAGGGACGAGGGGGTGACAAGGACATGGAGGGTGACAAAGAGAAGGGGGTGGCAGGGATGTCGTGGGGACAAGGAGAAGGGGGGTTGACAGAAGAGGGTGACAAGGCCACAGCAGGGAGGTGACAAGGCCACGAGGGTGACAAAAGGAAGAAGGTGACACGGCCATGGGGGGGTGACAAAGGGGGTGACAGAGAGAAAGTGGTGACAAGGACACGGCAGGATGGTGACAAGGACACCCACACCGTGGGTGACACCGAGCCGGGCCGTGCCGGTGTCACCCGGTGTCACCCGGAGCGGCTGTTGACTGCACACAGTGCCACACCCGCGGTGGCCCTGTCACCGGAGCCAGCCGGTGTCACCCCGCTGTCCCCGCGGTGTCGCCGGGGGTGGGGACACTGCCGTTGGCTGCCTGCGCGCGGTGCCACACCTGCGGTGGCCCTGTCCGGTTGTCGCCGGCGCCCGGGGCCATTTAACGGCGGTGGCAGCGCGGCGGGGAGGGGACAGCATGGAGGGGACACGGGGGACACGGCTGGAGGAGCGCGAGAACCTGCTGGGGGCCGTGCATGGCGTGTCCGGGCCCGGTATGGTGACACTGGGGACACCTGGGGACAGGGGACAGCCTGGGGACAGCTTGGGGACAGCCGGGGATGGGGCCCCGGTGGCGTTTGTGACGCTAAAATGGGGACAGGAGAGGGGACAAGGTGGGGGGAATGGGGAGGCGACAATGGGGGGGACCACCTGGGGAGGGGACAATGGGGAGGGGACCGGGTTGGGAACAGGAGGGGACATCGTGGGGACATCCTGGGACACCCTGGGGACGGGGACAAGCGGGGATGGGGACCCGGTGGCGTTTGTGACGCTAAAATGGGGACAGGAGAGGGGACAAGGTGGGGGGAATGGGGAGGCGACAATGGGGGGGACCACCTGGGGAGGGGACAATGGGGAAAGGACAGGGTTGGGAGCAGGAGGGGACATCGTGGGATCGCGATGGCGTTTGTGGCACTAAAATGGGGACAATGGGGAGGGGACACCCGGGGAGGGGACAGCGTGGGAAAGTGCCCGGGGGTGGTCGTGGGGAGGGGACAGGGATGGGGACAGGGGGGGATGCGGGGGAGTGGTGGCCCGGGGGTCGGGGTGACAGCCACGCGCACGGCAGGGGCGCCACGGCGAGGGGACAGGGATGGGGACCCCGGGGACTGGGGTGGGGGACACCGGGGGTCCCCTGTGCGGTGGTGGCCCGGGGTCGGGGTGACAGCAGCGTGTCCCCGCAGTGGTGACAGCCACGCGCATGGCGGGGGCGGCCATGTACGAGCTGGTGCGGGTGGGACACGCGGAGCTCGTGGGGGAGATCATCCGGCTCGAGGGGGACATGGCCACGCTCCAGGTGTACGAGGAGACCTGTATCCTGTCCCCGCTGTCCCCTCCCCGTCCCCTTCATCCTTTCCCTGTCCCCGCTGTCCCCCCGGTCCCCGTGTCCCCCTCAGTCCCCTCCGTGTCCCCGCTTGTCCCCGCAATCCCCGTGTCCCCCCTGCCCGTCCCCTCCTGCTGTCCCCCCAGTAGCCCCGCTCCCCGCTGTCCCGCCGGTCCTCGCAGTCCCCGTGTCCCCACTGTCCCTGCAGTCCCCGCAGTCCCTGTGTCCCTGCTGTCCCCCCGGTCCCCGCTGTCCCCGTGTCCCCACTGTCCCTGCAGTCCCCGCAGTCCCCGTGTCCCCATCGTCCCTGCAGTCCCCGCTGTCCCCGTGTCCCCGCTGTCCCTGCAGTCCCTGCAGTCCCCGTGTCCCCGCAGTCCCCGTGTCCCCGCTGTCCCCGTGTCCCCGCTGTCCCTGCAGTCCCCGCAGTCCCCGTGTCCCCGCAGTCCCCGTGTCCCCGCTGTCCCTGCAGTCCCTGCAGTCCCCGTGTCCCCATCATCCCTGCAGCCCCCCCGTGTCCCCGCTGTCCCCCCGTGTCCCTCCGGCGGTGACATTCCTGAGCGGCCGCAGCGGGGGTGCAGGTTGGGGACCCGGTGCGGCGCACGGGGACGCCGCTCTCGGTGGAGCTGGGCCCGGGCATCCTGGGCTCCATCTTCGACGGGATCCAGCGGCCGCTGCGCGACATCGCCGAGGCCACGCGCAGCATCTACATCCCGCGGGGCACCAATGTCCCCGCGCTGCCGCGACACCTGGACTGGGACTTTGTCCCCAGCAAGAACCTCCGGGTGCGTGGCCCCTCTCTGTCACCTCCCTGTACCCCCGTCCTGTCCCTTTGTCCCATCCCTGTCCTGTCCCCCCGTCCCCATCCGGCTTCCCAGGCTCCCTGTCACCTTCTTGTCGCCTCCCCGTCCTGTCCTGCGATCCCCTCTGTCCCCTCCCTGTCCCCTCCCCGTCCTGTCGCCCTCAACCACTCTGTCCCCTTTTGTCGCCCCCAATCCCGTCCTGTCCCTGCCAAGGGGCATCATCCTCCATTGTCCCCTCGTTCTGTCCTCCCCTGTCCCCTCCCTGTCCCCGCTGCCCAGGAGGGGACCCCAAAAAAGGGGTGGGGACACACTGACAGAGAGGACACAGGAACGGGGGGATGCCCCCAATCCCGTCCTGTCCCTGCCAAGGGGCATCATCCTCCATTGTCCCCTCGTTCTGTCCTCCCCTGTCCCCTCCCTGTCCCCGCTGCCCAGGAGGGGACCCCAAAAAGGGCGTGGGGACACACTGACAGGACACAGGAACGGGGGGACGCGGGGACACTGGGGACACAGGGACACGGGGGACTCAGGGACACGGGTGTCACAGAGCCGTGGGGACATGGGGGGACACAGAGACACAGGGGACATCGGGACACGGGGTTTACAGGGACATCGGGGGACACAGTGACAGTGAGGATGCAGGGACATGAGGACACGAAGGTGGCAGGGCGTGGGGACACGGGTCACACGAGGGACACAGGGGGGGGACACAGGGGACATGAGGCCCGAAGCCCCCCGGGGGTCTCTGACGGTGTCACCGCCGTGTCCCCAGGTCGGGAGCCACGTGACGGGCGGGGACATTTACGGCTCGGTGGCGGAGAACTCGCTGCTGCAGCACCGGCTGATGGTCCCGCCCCGCAGCCGCGGCACCGTCACCTACATCGCGCCCCCCGGGCACTACGGCGCGGCGGTGAGCGGCACCGGCACCGGCACCGGCGGGATTGCGATCGGGATCATTGGGTTCAGCGGGGTCGGGATCGGCATCAAGGGGATTAGCGGGATTGGGGCAGAGGGACCGGTACCGGGATCATTGGGATCAGCGGGATCGGTACCGGGATCATTGGGATCAGCGGGATCGGTACCGGGATCATTGGGATCAGCGGGATCGGGGCCGGGATCATTGGGATCAGCGGGATCGGTACCGGGATCATTGGGATCAGCGGGATCGGTACCGGGATCATTGGGATCAGAGGGACCGGTACCGGGATCATTGGGATCAGCGGGATTGGTACCGAGATCGTTGCGATCAGCGGGATCGGTACCGGGATCATTGGGATCAGCGGGATCGGGGCCGGGATTAGCGGGATTGGGATTGGGATGGGGGGGTGGGGGCTGGGTGGGGTGTCTCGGCTGATCCCGGCTGATCCCGGGTTGATCCCGGTTGATCCCTGCTAATCCCGGGCCGGTCCCGGGCTGATCCCGGCTAACTCCGTCTGATCCCGGCTGATCCCGGGCCGGTCCCAGGCCGATCCCGGCTGATCCCGGGCCGATCCCACAGGACGTGGTGCTGGAGCTGGAGTTCCAGGGGGTCCGCGAGCCGCTCTCCATGATCCAGGTGTGGCCGGTCCGGCAGGTCCGGCCCGTGGCCGAGAAGCTCCCGGCCAATCACCCGCTGCTGACCGGCCAGAGGGTCCTGGACGCGCTCTTCCCGTAGGGACCGGCACCGGGACTGGGAGGGTGTAGGGATCGGGATCGGGATTGGGATCGGCACCGGCACCGGCACCGGGACTGGGAGGGTGTAGGAGCGAGACCGGGATTGGGATCGGGACTGGGGGGGGGGGGGGAGGGGGCGGGGACCGGGGATCCCGGGCCGATCCCGGCTGATCCCGGGCCGATCCCGGCTGATCCCGGGCCGATCCCACAGGACGTGGTGCTGGAGCTGGAGTTCCAGGGGGTCCGCGAGCCGCTCTCCATGATCCAGGTGTGGCCGGTCCGGCAGGTCCGGCCCGTGGCCGAGAAGCTCCCGGCCAATCACCCGCTGCTGACCGGCCAGAGGGTCCTGGACGCGCTCTTCCCGTAGGGACCGGCACCGGGACTGGGAGGGTGTAGGAAGCGGGACCGGGATCGGGATCGGGATCGGGATCGGGATCGGGATCGGGATCGGGATCGGGATTGGGATCGGGACCGGCACCGGGACTGGGAGCGTGTAGGGAGCGAGACTGGGACCGGGATTGGGATCGGGACTGGGACCGGAATTGGGGTCGGGATTGGGACCGGGACTGGGAGGGTGTAGGGAGCGGACCGGGATCGGGATCGGGATCAGGATTGGGATTGGGATCGGAACTGGGATCGGGACCGGCACCGGGACTGGGAGGGTGTAGGGAGCGAGACCGGGATGGCACAGCTGGATTTGGGGACAGGGAGAGCTGGATTTGGGGACAGGGAGAGCTGGATTTGGGGACAGGGGAGGGGACAGGGAGAGATGGATTTGGGGACAGGGATGGGGACAGGGATGGGAACAGGCAGAGCTGGATTTGGGGACAGGGAGCCATAGATTTGGGGACAGGGGAAGCTGGATTTGGGGACAGGGATGGGGACAGGGAGCGATTTAGGGACAGGGGAAGCTGGATTTGGGGACAGGGAGCGATTTGGGGACAGGGGAGGCTGGATTTGGGGACAGGGAGTGATTTAGGGACAGGGGAAGCTGGATTTGGGGACAGGGAGCGATTTGGGGACAGGGGAAGCTGGATTTGGGGACAGGGAGCGATTTGGGGACAGGGGAGGCTGGATTTGGGGACAGTGATGGGGAGCGGCAAACAGCGACAGGACGGGGCTGGCGCAGCAACAGGCGTGGGGACGGCCACGGGGACAGGCGCAGGGTGTCGCCGCCGTGCCACCACCGCCGTGCCGTGTCGCCGTGTCGCCAGGTGCGTGCAGGGGGGCACCACGGCCATCCCGGGCGCGTTCGGCTGCGGGAAGACGGTGATTTCGCAGTCCCTGTCCAAGCACTCCAACAGCGATGTCATCGTCTACGTGGGCTGCGGGGAGCGCGGCAACGAAATGTCCGAGGTGCTGCGGGACTTCCCCGAGGTGACACCGCCACACCGGCACATCGGGGACATCGGGGTGGCACTGCGGCGCGGCGGGACGCGGGGACCTCAGGGTCGTCGGGGTGGCAGGGCGGTGGTAGGGACACGGGTGTTCATGGAGAGTCCTCTGGGGTTTTCCCGAGGTGACACGGGGACACGGGATGTGGCGGGACATCGGGGTGGCACTGGGACACGGGGGTGGCACTGTGACATAGGGGTGGCAGGGCAGTGATGGTGACACGGGTGTTCATGGAGAGTCCTCTGGGGTTTTCCCGAGGTGACACGGGGACACGGGATGTGGCGGGACATCGGTGTGGCACTGGGACACGGGGGTGGCACTGTGACATAGGGGTGGCAGGGCAGTGATGGTGACACGGGTGTTCATGGAGAGTCCTCTGGGGTTTTCCCGAGGTGACACGGGGACACGGGATGTGGCGGGACATCGGTGTGGCACTGGGACACGGGGGTGGCACTGTGACATAGGGGTGGCAGGGCAGTGATGGTGACACGGGTGTTCATGGAGAGTCCTCTGGGGTTTTCCCGAGGTGACACGGGGACACGGGATGTGGCGGGACATCGGTGTGGCACTGGGACACGGGGGTGGCACTGTGACATAGGGGTGGCAGGGCAGTGATGGTGACACGGGTGTTCATGGAGAGTCCTCTGGGGTTTTCCCGAGGTGACACGGGGACACGGGATGTGGCGGGACATCGGTGTGGCACTGGGACACGGGGGTGGCACTGTGACATAGGGGTGGCAGGGCAGTGATGGTGACACGGGTGTTCATGGAGAGTCCTCTGGGGTTTTCCCGAGGTGACACGGGGACACGGGATGTGGCGGGACATCGGTGTGGCACTGGGACACGGGGGTGGCACTGTGACATAGGGGTGGCAGGGCAGTGATGGTGACACGGGTGTTCATGGAGAGTCCTCTGGGGTTTTCCCGAGGTGACACGGGGACACGGGATGTGGCGGGACATCGGTGTGGCACTGGGACACGGGGGTGGCACTGTGACATAGGGGTGGCAGGGCAGTGATGGTGACACGGGTGTTCATGGAGAGTCCTCTGGGGTTTTCCCGAGGTGACACGGGGACACGGGATGTGGCGGGACATCGGTGTGGCACTGGGACACGGGGGTGGCACTGTGACATAGGGGTGGCAGGGCAGTGATGGTGACACGGGTGTTCATGGAGAGTCCTCTGGGGTTTTCCCGAGGTGACACGGGGACACGGGATGTGGCGGGACATCGGTGTGGCACTGGGACACGGGGGTGGCACTGTGACATAGGGGTGGCAGGGCAGTGATGGTGACACGGGTGTTCATGGAGAGTCCTCTGGGGTTTTCCCGAGGTGACACGGGGACACGGGATGTGGCGGGACATCGGTGTGGCACTGGGACACGGGGGTGGCACTGTGACATAGGGGTGGCAGGGCAGTGATGCAGGACGTGGTGCTGGAGCTGGAGTTCCAGGGGGTCCGCGAGCCGCTCTCCATGATCCAGGTGTGGCCGGTCCGGCAGGTCCGGCCCGTGGCCGAGAAGCTCCCGGCCAATCACCCGCTGCTGACCGGCCAGAGGGTCCTGGACGCGCTCTTCCCGTAGGGACCGGCACCGGGACTGGGAGGGTGTAGGAAGCGGGATCGGGATTGGGATCGGGACCGGCACCGGGACCGGGACAGGGACCGGGACCGGGACCGGGATCGGGACTGGGGGGGTGCGCTGCTCCTGTAGGGAGCGGGACTGGGACGGGGATGGGGACAAGGACAGGGACAGGGCTGGGACTGGGGACAGGGAAAGACAGAGCTCAGGACGGACCGGGACCGGGACCGGGATCGGGACTGGGGGGGTGCGCTGCTCCTGTAGGGAGCGGGACTGGGACGGGGATGGGGACAAGGACAGGGACAGGGCTGGGACTGGGGACAGGGAAAGACAGAGCTCAGGACAGGGAATTGGGACAGGGAGAGATGGGTTTGGGGACAGGGATGGGGACAGGCACAGCTGGATTTGGGGACAGGGAGCCATAGATTTGGGGACAGGGGAAGCTGGATTTGGGGACAGGGATGGGGACAGGGGGCGATTTAGGGACAGGGGAGGCTGGATTTGGGGACAGTGATGGGGAGCGGCAAACAGCGACAGGACGGGGCTGGCGCAGCAACAGGCGTGGGGACGGCCACGGGGACAGGCGCAGGGTGTCGCCGCCGTGCCACCACCGCCGTGCCGTGTCGCCGTGTCGCCAGGTGCGTGCAGGGGGGCACCACGGCCATCCCGGGCGCGTTCGGCTGCGGGAAGACGGTGATTTCGCAGTCCCTGTCCAAGTACTCCAACAGCGACGTCATCGTCTACGTGGGCTGCGGGGAGCGCGGCAACGAAATGTCCGAGGTGCTGCGGGACTTCCCCGAGGTGACACCGCCACACCGGCACATCGGGGACATCGGGGTGGCACTGCGGCGCGGCGGGACGCGGGGACCTCAGGGTCGTCGGGGTGGCAGGGCGGTGGTAGGGACGCGGGTGTTCATGGAGAGTCCTCTGGGGTTTTCCCGAGGTGACACGGGGACACGGGACGTGGCGGGACATCGGGGTGGCACTGAGACACGGGGGTGGCACTGGGACATGGTGGGACACGGGGACACAGTGGGACATCAGGGTGGCACTGGGACACAGGGGTGGCACTGGGACACGGTGGGACATGGGGACACAGTGGGACATCGGGGTGGCACACGGAGAGGGGGTGCCACTGGGACACGAGGGTGGCAGGGCAGTGACAGTGACACGGCGGTTCATGGAGGGTCCTCAGGGACTTTCCCGAAGTGACACAGCGACATCGGGACATCCGGGGGACACGGGGACATCGGGGTGGCACTGGGACACGGCGGGATGCGGGGACATCGGGGTGGCAGGGCAGTGACAGTGACACGGCGGTTCATGGAGGGTCCTCAGGGATTTTCCCGAGGTGACATGGGGACACAGGACATGGTGGGACATCGGGGTGGCCCTGGGACACGGCAGGACACGGGAGGGACATCGGGGTGGCAGGGCGGTGACAGTGACACGGGTGTTCGTGGAAAGTCCTCAGGGATTTTCCTGAGGTGACACCGGGACATGGGTGGCACTGGGAGAGGGGGTGGCACTGGGACACTGTGGGACACGGGGACATGGGGGGACATTGGGATGGCACTGGGACACGGGGTGGCGCTGTGACGTGGGGGTGGCAGGGCAGTGACAGTGACACGGGAGTTCATGGAGGGTCTTCAGCAACTTCCCCCGCGGGCATGGTGGGACATCGGGGTGGCAGGGCTGTCCCCTGGTGACACAGGGGTGGCAGGGGGTGACACAGGGAGGTGACAGGCGGTGACAATGTGACCCGGTGTTCCCAGCTGACCATGGAGGTCGGTGGCCGCTCCGAGTCCATCATGAAGCGCACGACGCTGGTGGCCAACACGTCCAACATGCCGGTGGCCGCCCGCGAGGCCTCCATCTACACCGGTGGGGACACGGGGACGCGGGGGGACATGGGAACAGGGACACGTGTGTGGGACAGGGACACGGGGACAGGGACACGTGTGTGGGACAGGGACACGGGGACACGGGGGGGTCACGGGGACAGGGACACCTGTGTGTGACAGGGACACGGGGACACGGGGGGACATGGGGACAGGGACACGTGTGTGGGACAGGGACACGGGGACAGGGACACGTGTGTGTGACAGGGACACGGGGACACGGGGGGGCACGGGGACAGGGACATGTGTGTGTGACGGGGACACGGGGACAGGGACATGTGTGTGTGACAGGGACACGGGGATATGGGGGGGCACAGGGACAGGGACACGTGTGTGTGACAGGGACACAGGGGTGCACGGGGACAGGGACATGTGTGTGTGACAGGGACATGGGGACAGGGACACGTGTGTGTGACAGGGACACGGGGACACGGGGAGGTGTGGGTACCGGGGAATGAGGGTGTGACGGGGACAGGGACATGTGTGTGTGACAGGGACACGGGGACACGGGGGGTCACGGGGACAGGGACACGTGTGTGTGACAGGGACACGGGGACAGGGACACGTGTGTGGGACAGGGACACGGGGACAGGGACACGTGTGTGTGACAGGGACACGGGGACAGGGACACGTGTGTGTGACAGGGACACAGGGGTGCACGGGGACAGGGACATGTGTGTGTGACAGGGACATGGGGACAGGGACACGTGTGTGTGACAGGGACACGGGGACAGGGACACGTGTGTGGGACAGGGACATGGGGACAGGGACACGTGTGTGTGACAGGGACACGGGGACAGGGACACGTGTGTGTGACAGGGACACAGGGGTGCACGGGGACAGGGACATGTGTGTGGGACAGGGACATGGGGACAGGGACACGTGTGTGTGACAGGGACACGGGGATAGGGACACGTGTGTGTGACAGGGACACGGGGACATGGGGAGACACAGAGGGACATGAGGGAACAGGGACATGGGTGTGTGATAGGGTCATGTGTGTGTGACGGGGACATGGGGGGACACAGGGGGACAGGGACACTGGTGTGTGACAGGGATACTGGTGTGTGAGAGGGCTGGGGCTGTCCCTGGGTGTATGACATGTGTGACAGGTGTATGACGCATGTGTGACACTCTCACTGTGTCCCCGTGTCACCATGTCCCTGTGTCCCCTGTGTGTCCCTGTGAGTGTCACCGTGTCCCCCTGTCCCCGTGTCCCCTGTGTGTCCCCTGTGTGTCCCCGTGAGTGTCACCGTGTCACTGTGTCCCCGTGTCCCCTGTGTGTCCCCGTGAGTGTCCCCGTGTTCCCATGTCCCCGTGTCACTGTGTCCCCTGTGTGTCCCTGTGAGTGTCACCCTGTCCCCCTGTCCCCGTATCACTGTGTCCCCTGTGTGTCCCCGTGTCCAGGGCGGGGGGACCCCCTCGTGCACCCCCAGCTCACTCCGACCCCCCCCGCCCCGCAGGGTGTCCCCCCGTCTCCCCCTGTCCCCGTGTCCCCTGTGTGTCCCTGTGAGTGTCACCGTGTCCCCCTGTCCCCGTGTCCCCTGTGTGTCCCCTGTGTGTCCCCGTGAGTGTCACCGTGTCACTGTGTCCCCGTGTCACCATGTCCCCTGTGTGTCCCCGTGTCACCGTGTCCCTGTGTCCCCTGTGTGTCCCCGTGAGTGTCACCATGTCCCTGTGTCCCCTGTGTGTCCCTGTGAGTGTCACCCTGTCCCCCTGTCCCCGTATCACTGTGTCCCCTGTGTGTCCCTGTGAGTGTCACCCTGTCCCCCTGTCCCCGTATCACTGTGTCCCCTGTGTGTCCCCGTGTCCAGGGCGGGGGGACCCCCTCGTGCACCCCCAGCTCACTCCGACCCCCCCCGCCCCGCAGGGTGTCCCCCCCCGGAGGGGACTTCTCGGATCCTGTCACCTCGGCCACGCTGGGGATCGTGCAGGTGAGGGGACAGAGGGGACAGAGGGGACAGCAGGGACAGCGGGGACAGAGGGGACAGAGGGGACAGAGGGGACAGCAGGGACACATGGGGACAGCAGGGACACAGGGGACAGAAGGGACATTGGGGACAGCGGGGGGGCCTGAGTGCGACAGGGACACACCGGGGGAGGGGACATGGTGGCGGGGGACACGGAGGGGACATGGAGAGGTGGGGGGGGACGTGGAAGGGACAAAGTGGGAGGAGCGTGGAGGGGACAGGGGCAGGGTGGGAGGGACATGGGGACACTGAGTGGGACATAGAAGGGACAGGGACGCACTGGGAGGGGACAGGGACACAGGGACAGGGACATGGTGACAGTGACGCCTGGGTGAGGACACGGCGGTGACATTCCCGATGTCGCAGGTGCTCGGGGGCTGGACAGGAACCTCGGGGACAGCCTGGCTGACACGGGGTGACATTACCAGGTGTTCCGTGGGGACAAGAAGCTCGGGGGCAGGATGGGTGACACCGGGTGACACTGGGTGACACTGCCAGGCATTCCGTGGGGATAAGGAGCTCGGGGATGCCCTGGGTGACCAGAGGGTGACACCGGGTGACACGGGGTGACATAGACAGGGGCAGGGTGGGAGGGACATGGGGACACTGAGTGGGACATAGAAGGGACAGGGACGCACTGGGAGGGGACAGGGACACAGGGACAGGGACATGGTGACAGTAACGGCGGTCACGGTGACATTCCCGGTGTCGCAGGTGCTCGGGGGCTGGACAGGAACCTCGGGGACAGCCTGGCTGACACGGGGTGACATTACCAGGTGTTCCGTGGGGACAAGAAGCTCGGGGGCAGGATGGGTGACACCGGGTGACACTGGGTGACACTGCCAGGTGTTCTGGGGGCTGGGCAAGAAGCACAGGGACACACGGGGTGACACGGGGGTGACATTACTGGGTATTCCATGGGGATAAGGAGCTTGGGGACAGGATGAGTGACACAAGGTGACAGTGGGTGACACCCCAGGTGTTCTGGGGGCTGGACAAGAAGCACAGGGACACACGGAGTGACCCGGGGGTGACATTCCCGGGCATTCCGTGGGGATAAGGAGCTCGGGGACAGGATGGGTGACCCGGGGGTGACATCCCCGACCCGAGGGGACACCGGGGGACACGGGGTGACACGCCAGGGGTTCTGGGGGCTGGACAAGAAGCACAGGGCCACACGGAGTGACCCGGGGGGGACATCCCCGACCCGAGGGGACACCGGGGGACACGGGGTGACACGCCAGGGGTTCTGGGGGCTGGACAAGAAGCACAGGGCCACACGGAGTGACCCGGGGGGGACATCCCCGACCCGAGGGGACACCGGGGGACACGGGGTGACACGCCAGGGGTTCTGGGGGCTGGACAAGAAGCACAGGGCCACACGGAGTGACCCGGGGGGGACATCCCCGACCCGAGGGGACACCGGGGGACACGGGGTGACACGCCAGGGGTTCTGGGGGCTGGACAAGAAGCACAGGGCCACACGGAGTGACCCGGGGGGGACATTCCCGGGCATTCCGGGGGGATAAGGAGCTCGGGGACAGGATGGGTGCCCCGGGGGTGACCTGGGGGTGGCACTGCCAGGCATTCCGTGGGGATAAGGAGCTCGGGGATACCCTGGGTGACCCGGGGGTGACACCAGGTGACTCGGGGTGACACGCCAGGTGTTCTGGGGGCTCGACAAGAAGCACAGGGACACACGGAGTGACCCGGGGGTGACATTCCTGGGCATTCCGTGGGGATAAGGAGCTCGGGGATACCCTGGGTGACCCGGGGGTGACACCAGGTGACTCGGGGTGACACGCCAGGTGTTCTGGGGGCTCGACAAGAAGCACAGGGACACACGGAGTGACCCGGGGGTGACATTCAGGTGACACTGCCAGGCATTCCGTGGGGATAAGGAGCTTGGGGACAGGATGGGTGACACGGGGGTGACATACCCGACCCGAGGTGACACGGGGTGACACCCCAGGTGACACCCCAGGTGTTCTGGGGGCTGGACAAGAAGCACAGTGACACACGGGGAGGTGCTGGGTGACCTGGGGGTGACATGGTGGTGACACTGCCAGGCATTCCGTGGGGATAAGGAGCTCGGGGATGCCCTGGGTGACCCGGGGGTGACATCCCCGACCCGAGGTGACACCGGGTGACACCCCAGGTGTTCTGGGGGCTGGACAAGAAGCACAGGAACACACGGGGAGATGCCGGGTGACCCGGGGGTGACATGGAGGTGACACTGCCAGGCATTCCGTGGGGATAAGGAGCTCGGGGATGCCCTGGGTGACCCGGGGGTGACATCCCCGACCCGAGGTGACACCGGGTGACACCCCAGGTGTTCTGGGGGCTGGACAAGAAGCTGGCGCAGCGCAAGCACTTCCCCTCGGTGAACTGGCTGATCTCGTACTCGCGCTACCTGCGCGCTCTCGAGCCGCACTACGAGCGCGCGCACCCCGAGCTGCCCGCGCTGCGCGACCGCGCCCGGCGCATCCTGCAGGAGGAGGAGGAGCTGGCCGAGATCGTGCAGCTCGTGGGGAAGGTCTGGGATTGGGGTTTGTGGGGTCGGGGATGTGGGATATGGGGTCTGGGATATGAGATACGGGTTGTGGGATGTAGGGTCTGGGATCCTGCAGGAGGAGGAGGAGCTGGCCGAGATGGTGCAGCTCGTGGGGAAGGTCTGGGATTGGGGTTTGTGGGGTCGGGGATGTGGGATATGGGGTCTGGGATATGGGGTTTGTGGGGTCTGTGAGGTTTGTGGGGTGTGAGATGTGAGATACAGGATGCGGGATGTGGGGTCTGTGGGGTTTATGGGGTCAGGAATGTGGGACCCTGCAGGAGGAGCTGGCTGAGATCACGCAGCTCCTGGGGAACGTCTGGGACTGGGGTTTGTGGGGTCTGTGGGGTTTATGGGGTCAGGAATGTGGGACCCTGCAGGAGGAGCTGGCTGAGATCACGCAGCTCCTGGGGAAGGTCTGGGACTGGGGTTTGTGGGGTCTGTGGGGTCGGGGATGTGAGATACGGGGTGTGGGATGTGAGATATGGGGTCTGGGATATGGGGTCTGTGGGGTTTGTGGGGTCTGGGATGTGGGACCCTGCAGGAGGAGCTGGCTGAGATCGTGCAGCTCGTGGGGAAGGTCTGGGATTGGGGTTTGTGGGATCTGTGGGGTCTGTGGGGTGTGGGATGTGAGATACGGGGTGTGGGATGTGGGGTTGGGGTCTGGGATGTGGGATATGGGATATGGGACCCTGCAGGAGCTGGAGATCGTGCAGCTTGTGGGGAAGGTCCTTTTATGGGATTTGTGGGGTCTGTGGGGTGTGGGATGTCTGGTCAGGGTCGGATGTGAGATGGGGTGTGGGATGTGGGGTCTGTGGGGTGTTTGGGGTGTGGGATGTGGGGTCTGTGGTGTTTGTGAGGTGTGGGATGTGGGGTCTGTGGGGTCTGTGGGGTTTGTGGGATGTGGGGTCTGTGGTGTTTGTGGGGTGTGGGATGTGGGGTCTGTGGGGTCTGTGGTGTTTGTGGGGTGTGGGATGTGGGGTCTGTGGGGTTTGTGGGGTCTGGGATATGAGATACGGGTTGTGGGATGTAGGGTCTGGGATCCTGCAGGAGGAGGAGGAGCTGGCCGAGATCGTGCAGCTCGTGGGGAAGGTCTGGGATTGGGGTTTGTGGGGTCGGGGATGTGGGATATGGGGTCTGGGATATGGGGTTTATGGGGTCTGTGGGGTCTGTGGGGTGTGGGATGTGAGATATGGGGTCTGGGATATGGGGTCTGTGGGGTTTGTGGGGTCTGGGATGTGGGACCCTGCAGGAGGAGCTGGCCGAGATCGTGCAGCTCGTGGGGAAGGTCTGGGATTGGGGTTTGTGGGGTCGGGGATGTGGGATATGGGGTGTGGGATATGGGGTTTATGGGGTCTGTGGGGTCTGTGGGGTGTGGGATGTGAGATATGGGGTCTGGGATATGGGGTCTGTGGGGTTTGTGGGGTCTGGGATGTGGGACCCTGCAGGAGGAGCTGGCCAAGATTGTGCAGCTCGTGGGGAAGGTCTGGGATTGGGGTTTGTGGGGTCTGTGGGGTCTGTGGGGTGTGGGATGTGAGATACGGGGTGTGGGATGTGGGGTTGGGGTCTGGGATGTGGGATATGGGATATGGGACCCTGCAGGAGCTGGAGATCGTGCAGCTTGTGGGGAAGGTCCTTTTATGGGATTTGTGGGGTCTGTGGGGTGTGGGATGTCTGGTCAGGGTCGGATGTGAGATGGGGTGTGGGATGTGGGGTCTGTGGAGTCTGTGGGGTCGGGGATGTGAGATATGGGGTGTGGGATGTGGGGTCTGTAGTGTTTGTGAGGTGTGGGATGTGGGGTCTGTGGGGTCTGTGGGGTGTGGGGTCTGTGGGGTTTGGGGGCAGAGACCCCTGTGGGGGGGGTCCTAGGATAGGGTAAAGGGGGCTGGGGGTCCTAGGGGAGGGGTTAGGGTTTGGGGACCCCCGTGCGGCTCTGAAGGTGACACCCCCGTGTCCCCTCGTGTCACCTGTGACCCCTGTGACTCCATTTGGGGGTGGGCTGTGACCCCATTTTGGGGTCCCAGGTGGATTTTTTGGGGGGGGTCCCACATAAATCTCGGTGTGGGTGCCCCGGGGGGGTTTGGGGACCCCCAGTGCGGCTCTGGGGGTGACACCCCCGTGTCCCCCCGTGTCCCCTGTGACAGTCAGAACGGGGGCTGTGACCCCCTTTGGGGGGGTGGTGTCACCGTGTCCCGCACGAATCTCGGTGTGGGTGCCCCGGGGGGGTTTGGGGACCCCCAGTGCGGCTCTGGGGGTGACACCCCCGTGTCCCCCCGTGCCCCTCCGTGTCCCCGCGGCCAGGACCCGGTGAAGGACGGCGAGCAGCGCATCCTGGCGTCCTACGCGCAGCTGCAGGAGGAGATGGTGGCGGCGTTCCGCAACCTGGAGGACTGAGGGGGGGGGACAGGATGGAGGGGGGGGTCAATCTCTGGGGTTTGCGGGACTGATGGGATCTCTGGGATCAATGGGGTTTGCGGGACTGATGGGGTCTCTGGGATCGATGGGGTTTGTGGGACTGATGGGGTCTCTGGGATCTCTGGGGTTTGTGGGACTGATGGGGTCTCTGGGATCTCTGGGGTTTGTGGCATTTGGGGTCAGGGGGGCTCTGGGGGGTCCCAGCAGTGCCAGCACCCCGCTGTCCCCGCAGGCGTCGCTGGCCGAGGGTGACAAAGTGACGCTGGAAGTGGCCAAACTGCTCAAGGACGATTTCCTGCAGCAGAACGGATACTCGGCCTACGACCGGTACCGGGACCCCCGGGACCCCCCCGGGACCTCCCCGGGACCCCCCCGGGGCACGGGGGTCACCCGAGGTGGGGGGACAGGATGGGGGGGTCCCCAGAGTCCCCCCGCCCTCCTCAATAAAGGGCTCGTGGTGGCACTTGAGCTCCGGGCGTGGCTTTCCCGAGCAGGGCGGCAGCGTCCGGTGGCACCGGGGGTGGCACTGGGGGGGTCCG